TACATCAACAATTGCTGTTGTATTATGGGAAGACATTGAACATTATTATATCAACAATTACTGTTGTATTATGGGAAGACACTAACCATTATTACATCAACAATTGCCGTTGTATTATGAGGACACTAACCATTATTACATCAACAGTTGCTGTTGTAACTATTATAACATCAACAATTGCTGTTGTATTATGGGAAGACATTGAACATTATTATATCAACAATTGCTGTTGTATTATGGGAAGACATTGATCATTATTACACAAACAGTTACTGTCACTGTAGGAAGATACTAGTACTGGTGCAAAGGGAATGACAAAACCAAGCCACAGACTGGGGTTTTCAAAAAGATGCTGAGATATATGTAAGTCACATCGCAAAGCTGAAGAAGCTCATTTTATGTCCACATTTTATTTTTTGTGGGAGAAAGCTGATTACTGCAGTATGTTCTTCACTCTAGTAATAATACATCTTTTCAAAAATACATAATTTAAATAAATAAATATGTAAAGATAAGAAATGTTAAAAACTCAAGCTGTAGATTATTTTTGAAATCATACCTTGCATAAAGATCCACGTAAGTTTCCAGGGTGGGTACAGGGTGAGTAAGACGAACAAACTCTACCGCAGCTTTGGCACAGTCATCAGCTGATTGGTTGGCTCTGTGGAGTATCCATGGAATCGCCATGACAAAAGAACCAATCACAGCAAGCTGGGAGTCTGGGTTTTCTTTCATTTTTTGGGCATATCTGGAGTAAATAATAAGCATATAGTTTAAATTGAAAAAAAAAATTTGAAACAATGAAACAGCTCATTTTTAGAGGAAATTATAGAGCAAAGACACATTCTAAAACTCAAATTAACAGTCTCTTAAAAAGGAATTAAGCAAGGAAGAAATCTGAAAGCTTAAAACAAGGATTATATCACTAAGAGGTGTGTGTAATAATGAGGCATTGACTTTGCTTGTCAACAAACACTTGTCTTGTCTAGAATTCTGAATAAAAAACTGATTAGTCAGAAATGAAATCAACAAGGCTGAAATGTAAACAAAAAAGGTTTCAAATTTTACCTTTTCTCAGCAAACTCCAAAATCTCTTTCCCCTTCCTGGGTGGAGTATCGAGATTGTCCCAGTCCTTAAAGAAGGCCCTGTGGAAGGACTCGGCATAGGTGTCATTGTGGGAGTCAGGTGTGGTCAAAAACTGGACATAGTCCTCCAGGACAGCGGCTTGGAGCTCCCTGTTGGTCAGCTTGCCATCTGGGTCAGTCTTCTTGAGGACGTCTGCCACGCGCACTGCACACAGGGCGTTGAGGGTGTTATCGCCAGCCTTCATACCTACATGTATGGGAGTTTATAGAAGTATTCTGTATCAAGAAATGTATCGGTTCTGTAAATTGTTAAATTACATCAAACTGTTCCTTCAATCACAAGGCTTCCATTTGGCCAAAATTAGGTCTCTAATGTTCCAGTGTCTGTAATTCCTTTGAAAATTTTCATGCAAGATTAATTTAATGTTGTATAATTCCATGACTTCATAAATTTATTATGAATAGCAAACTGAGTGGTCGAAAATAATTTTCATTAAAATAACATTTTATTCTTATAAAATTTATGTTACCACTAAAATTCAAATCCGGATCTTTTTAATGTGATTTTTACTAGGTAAAAATTTTATTGAATACACAAAACTTTATCCTGTATTTTGTGCCATCTTCTTGGAATAAACCATTTACCTTGGTGGTAGTGGGTATTTCTGTTTGAAGAAGTCCAGTATTTTTCCTTGCCTTGCAGGATAACATTGCCCACTACTGGTCTGGACTTGGCATGCCAGCCACTGCGGCCACTGCCGTCTGAGGAAGAATGTTTTTCTCATATTTTTAAATATCAGAGAGATCAATCAATAAATTATACAATTTTGAATAGATTTTTTATACCACTCTTATACATTTAACCTTCAACACTTTCCCATTCACCTAAAATTTTATCAAAACCAAGGTGTGCTTTGCCTTGTAAGAAAATATTATCAGATGATTAATCAATGTAAAATAAATAAATAAATAAATAAATAAATAAATAAATAAATAAATATTATTACCTCCTATGTAAATATATTCTTTGCTTTTATAAAATAAGTCAAGAATAAAACTGACAAGTTCAAATTATAATACCTAAAATCAATACTACACAGTTAGGCTAGTACTATAACCCCTTACCCACGGCAGACAGGGACAAGATGCTGCTAGGGTGTTTTTGATTGGGTGCTCTATATCCAGCCAGCCAATCCCCATAGCCGTACTTGATGTCCTCAGGGTTGTAATACCAGTGTACAGGCATGGCTAGTGCATCAGCTATACACAGTCCCCACAGTGCATTGTGCCTGGCTTCCTCTAGCTTGGAGGTCATCTTGTTGGGATTTTGGCTAAAATGTACGATTCCTAGGTTTTACCGATAGCTATGGATCTATTTCGTTGTAATAATAGGGGTGAAAGTTGTGAAAACTGAAAATCCAGAAAATGTAACTTGCAATTTCTCATCGCATTTAGTCTACATGAAAAAAAAAAAAAAAAAAAAAAAAAAAACCAATCAGAGTGAAGACGGAAAACCCTGAAATCAGGCATAATCCTGAAAACTTTATCCATGAAAAAATTATCTTTTTTTTTTTTCTCTTTTTTAGGATACTTAGTTCTTTTTTTACTTCACTTTGTTTCCATCTACATATACATTCATCTAACTATCCACTGATTTATCTATACACCTATTCAGTTATTCCTTTTGTCATTCCCAATGTATTTATACACAGAATTCCTCACCTTGCAGCTTGGTGAAAAGCAGCTGAGGGAGGAGTGTCTGATAGCTGGAGGTGAGATGAGAAGAGCACTAGAGCTGCCAGAGACTTGACCCTGCCGTACAGTCTGATTGTCTGGAATCAACTATGTAATGTCAATTTCTATTCATTCTCTGTCATATATTTTGGACTGAATGAATGAATGAATGAATGAATGAATGAATTAATAAAAAGTAAATGAATTAATTTAATTAATTAACATAAATAAATGAATAAATAAATGATTTTCAGAGAACAATTCTGAATAATATAATGCACATGAAATTAAATAGTGTAAAGAGTGGAAAATATACAAAATGCTGTATATGAAATACATGCATATGTAGTTCGCGAGTACTTGATAAATACATAAAATAAACATAATTATTTGACTAAAATGCAAAACAATTTAATGCACTTCATGTACCCTGTTTATTTTCAACTATTTTATCTATGTGGATTATAAAGAATCATTAGGCACCAAATCCAGTTACTAATAAAAATTTTTCAAAACAAAAAAATTAATCCTTGTTTCACATTTTAGAATGTTTTCCTTGTCCCATATTTCATACTCATCAAATCACTTCATTTATAATTCATCAGTGCATAAATATTTGTTATTAGTTAACCAGTCACTGCTACATGTGTTAACAAACACTTATTTGATTCAGCATTTTGTTTCAATATAAAATTCAACAAAGAATTAGGAAGAAATGAGTATAAGCCCTCTACTCACCTGTCCAGTGATACAGGAATGCATATATAACAGCTGATTACACAACTGTGTGATATAAGAACGCACACAAACACACACCCGCTACCGGTGTTTCTCCAAACTGCTGTCTCAGTGTTATGTCACTACATGTGTAGCCTTACATAACTTTATTCTCTTCACAACAGCAATCTTCGATGTCCGAAAAGTAAAATAATACAGTATGTCACAGTTCAGTTAAGGTGAAAATGTTGATCATGATCTCAATGTGAACTGTGTTTCATAACCTGCAGCTACAGGCTTCAGATATATCCAAAATGGTCTCCAGTGATACTCACTGGTACATATATATATACTGCTTAGTATATATATATATATATATATATATATATATATATATATATATATATATATATATATATATATATATATATATATATAGCTTATGTATATGTACATACATGTACACTGTACACATTGTAGAAGTTCCCAGCTAAAAAGACTACTAGGAACTGTCTGTTTCTTAGACACTTGTACATTGGTACATGTAACTGAGGTGAAGAGCATATAATACCTTTGTTTTATGCACATAATTACAGTACATGCACTAGTACACAGCAAGTATAAAAGGAAATTGTACACACTGGCAGCATTCCCATTTAAGATTTAACTGAAAATTTTAAACGCCATTTTTACGTATTTACTGCTGGGCATTACTTTCACTGAATAACCAAATATTTCCATTCATGTGGCCCTGGAAGCTGAAGGTGAACTGATGACTCAAAGATACAACTTCCTTGTGAAGTTGTGTAAATTAATCTAAAACTCAAAAAGTCAATCACTTTCGCTTTCCAGTCACAGTCGACGAAATTCATCGTAATAACTAGCATCGCGTAATAATGCCATGAATAATAATGGTCAATGAAGAAACATGAGAAAACTACTCACCTGCAATTGACACCAGCGCCCAGGTGCCTGTCCCGAGCTCAAAAGGTCAGTTACGAAACTTGGTATTTTATAACACATGCTGTAAATTCAAGGGGTCAAAAAGTTAAGTGTAGAAAATGCTGATAGCCGATAACATATAGGTCGCGCGAGAAGTTTTAATGTAAACACTGATTTTCGTCTTTCGAAAATTATATGAGGTATGGACGTTAATAAAGGTAATTTGTATTATTTTTTTCTCTTAATTAGAGTCTCAAACCAATTGTTTTTCTCACTAATATTATAAATGATAGCGATTATTAACGCTATTAGCCAAGATAACGCAGGTTGACTTGTCAAACATTTTCGAAGACTTTTTAACATTAAGCAATGGTTTGATACTGATCATTTCAAGTTTTTAACATAAATTATTTTAGGACTATTGCCTCAATACACTGTTAGTTATTTTGCAAACTTTGGCAACAAGCACCCTTTGAAAAAAAAGGAAATGCCAGGAAATGCTTAGCCCCTCTTGACAATGACTAAACTTCCGGTTTGCAGCAAATTTTGGTGATGATTAAGATAACAGAGAAAAAATGGTAAGATTTTAATGGATAATTAGACTCATTTTATGCATTTAATGAAACCACTTTGCCCAACAAGAATTGGTTTGTGAAATGCAGTTTTGCATCACTCTTTACTTCGCTTGCTTTGTATATAGATTTTGCCATTATTGGAGGTCAATAAGCGAATGTCAAAAGTAACATGGTAACATTGGTATTACTACAAGAACTAGTAGTAGTAGTAGTTGTCTAATACAAGACCGTTTCAGAATACAGTTGTCCTTGTTTCGTGTTAAGTCTTTGCCTTTGGGCATAAAGGTTGTATTTATTGACTACTGATAGTGTTTTTGTAATGTTAAAAGTCATGTTCTTGTATATATTAAATTTTTAAAGGTTTTATTATTAATATTATTTGCTTCTCAATCCTCAAAGTAAATACTGCCTAAAAACCGTGTCTCACTTCATCCAAGAAATGTTTAAAAAAAGACTAGCCTGTCAATAATAATGAGCAAGTCTACCACAATACAGAACAATGTAATTGTCAATGTGTAATATAGGTATTTTTTATCTTATTATTATCATTATTTTTAGTAGTAGTAGTAGTAGTAGTAGTAGTATTTTAATTATTATTTCCTTCATCATAGTTTATTTTCCCCACATTTATAAGAAATATTTCCACTTGTTACTGTAGATTACGTATATAATGTAATTATGAAACATATAATTACATTTATGCTTGTAAGCCTGATATCACATAAGTGTGATAATATGTCTAGATATATATTACATGTATGTATAACACAAGTAGTTTAGAGGGCCTGCAAAATGTACTGAAACATTTTAGTGCTTAATAAATTATTATTATTATTATCATTTTATTTTTACTAATTCGTCCCTTGTGGATCCATAATACAACTGAATAGTTATCATGATGAAATGAGGTATTTTTCAATTGTTATTTGCATTGCAGTATCTTGTATCACAGGTTGTTTTGAAAATGTGAGTGTAGAAATCCTTTGAACACCATACAAAATGGCAGAAGTGATTTCCCCCCAGCCCAAGATTGTGGTTGGAGCCTATAATTTCAAGGGCACTAACAATGATGAGGTTTGTAATATTCTTTTTTTCCCCTTTTTTTTCAAGGGAACTTGCATACTAGTAATTAGTAAGAATTAGCTGTTGAATCAAATAGTCTTGATATGACAGAGATCAAATGCACAAATTAAAATACTACATAAAGAAAAAAGTTGATATTTTGTTGAAAAGCCTTGAACATAAGCTGATTTATTTGCAAGGACCTTTTTCCATATCATTTTCATTCACTTTTTTAAATAAAATTAATATTTAAGAGCAGAGTTCATAGTCATGCATAATGTAAATGGCAAAACATATCTTTTACTTTTTGCACCGTTTCTTTTAAATCTTTTTCTCCAGCTATGTTTCTGTAAAGGTGACCTGATTACGGTGACCCAGATTGTGGATGGGGGATGGTGGGAAGGAACCCTTAATGGACAGACAGGATGGTTCCCAGCCAACTATGTCAAAGAGGTCAAACTAGGTAAGACTAAGACAAAAAAAAAAAAAAAAAAAAAAAAAAAAAGAAAATTCAGAAGACCAATTACTGATAATCAGCTAAATTCTGAATCTGTTATTTTTTCATTGATAATTTTTATTGTTATTTAGGAGAAATTGCTCAAGAAAAATGAGTAAAGTCAGATATTTCTAGCTATATGAATTATTGAATTTACTTTATTTCCATGTGTAGATATTGTGTTCATTATTACAGTGCGAACATGATACAGTCTGCCTGTTTACATACGAAAACCCCCATACTTCATATTGAACATTTGCTTTATTTTCACATATATTTCAATGGCAGTTCCCCTGTTATTGTCCTGTTCTTTCAGTTAATCTGTAGTGTTGGATAGTTTAATTAATTATGAAGAATCACTACACCTTAATTGTCATACTTATATATACCACATACAGATAACCATGACTTTATCATCTTTGGATGTACCGTATATTTAACCCCACACATATCTGTTGCAGAAATCTCTTGAAGACTTAAGAAAGTATAGTAGTTTATAGAAAGCCAGTATGAATACCTTGACTTATCTTTATTTCAGATCCCAAGACTGGCCTGCCCCCTGGTGTCAAAGCTGGAGAGATTAAGTTGAACAAAAGAGAAAGTACAGCTCACTACCAAAGTGTGGTAAGATATATGTGGAGTACACAGCATGGTGGCCAAAAGTCCCATTACAACTGATTGCAATCAACTGTCATGGCAAAGGAAGAACAACCATTACTTTGGTTATCAAAAATGCAATCTGGACAAGTCACCGTATATACTAAGCCCAGTATCTCAAAAGTTTACTTCACTTGATAAAAATAAAAAAGTTTGTTTCAAATTGAAGACAACTGAAAAAAGAAACAAAAAAAAAAAAATTCAACCCAGGATGAATCTGTATTAGTCGCACCATTAAATTGGGTAACAGTAAACTGTTTCTTGCTATTTGTGAAACAATACAAGTGCAGATTGTCAATCAAGCAGACAACTTTTGATTTAAGGAAAATGAAATAGTCCAGACATCATGATAAAGAACTAATTTTTGTCGATGAAATTCCTCAGTGGTATGCTTATTGATATTACATAAACTCAATGCCCTTTGTATCAGATTCTCATCCCCTCACTTTGTCTACTTACCAGGTATTACAGAACATCATAGACCAGGAACAGGCTCACGTGACTGAGCTACAGGAGCTGCTGGAAAAATACTTGAAACCTTTGCAGGAGGCAGGAATGTGAGTGGGCTCTAGTTTGTAATGGCTCTAATATCTGAGATTTGAATTTTGGACACTACAGAATGGGTTGTAGACAGTGAGTGAACAAATATTTTATACCAACATCCCCTTTTTTTGGAAGTTTTAATAGACTGACAAAACTTAGACAACAAAAATTTTATCTGTTGTTTGTTCCTCAGTCATTAAAAAAATGATGATCATCAAAGATTTACAGGTATTAAGTAATAATAAAAAGATCTATGAGTGTCTTTTATTTTATTGTGAGAGGTAATTTTAATATCGAGAGAGTGGGAGACAGACAAAATTATAAAACAAATTTTTTGTTCAGTTTAAGTGGAGCAGAATACTCACAGCTGTGTGGAAACCTTGAGGACATCACAGTATTCCAGGAAAACTTCCTAGCTCAGCTGAAAGAAATTGCAAAGTAAGTTATTATGTCACACTGTTATAGGAGATGTTCTGAAAAGGATACCTTCATACTTGTAGACAAATATTTTGGTAACAGGTTTAGTAAATGATGTAATTATCCAGACATTCTGGAGAATGTGGAATTTTTAAAAATTCTTTCAGTGTCCATGTTTTCTATTCATTAATGTATATATTTCTTTTAATTATTTAAATGTTTTATGTAGATATGAAAAAAAAAATAAAATTGGATATTTCTGTGATCCTAGTGTTAGGGCCAATATTTCTAGAAAAGATCAGCTTTTAATTAAAGAGTTTTTAATTTTGTTTCAGAATGCCAAGTAACCAACAGAAGGTAGGAGGCAGCTTTATGATGAATGCTCCCCAGTTGATATCTCTCTACAAGACCTACTGTTCCAACCATCCTCAGGCTGTCTCTGTATTACAGACACACAGGTAAGGCATGCATATACACGTAGGCACGTGGACGCACACGCACACACATATTCACCAATATCAACTTGGGATTTTGTATTTAGACACAAAACTCTTTAAGGCTGTCCTGGGTTGTATCAGTTTTACATTCTATTTCATTCATCCGTCCATCCAGGGAAAAGCTTGACCAGTTCATGGAAAACCAGGGGGCAGTGGCTCCTGGGGTAATTACACTGACCACCAGCCTGTCTAACCCCTTCAGGATGCTAGACCGCTACCCCGTGTTACTGAAGGAACTGGAGAGACACATTGAGGTGAGGGGAATAGTCTGAGGACAAGTGTAGGACAATATGATTGGATGCTTTCATGTATGTATGTCAGTCATTGGTGAAGAAATGGATTCAATTTGGTTATGACACTTACTGAAATAATATTATTGGATTTTGAATTGTATGTAATTGCTTTAGGTGCTTTTTACTGATTTATATTTTTCCATTTTAAGACTAGTAGAAGTGAGAAAAAATCTTAGGTGATGATTTCATTGATGTATGTTGAATTCAGGAATTGAAGAAAAACAAGTTTCTAATCACCTTAATTGTAGATAGATTTTGACTGATTCAAAATGAGATTTTTGTACACCTGTAGATTTATGATCATTGTATTTCCACTATAAACTATTTGTGTTATATTTCTGTAATATGCTAGGACTGCCATGTAGATAGGGGGGACACACAAAGAGCAATCGCTGTGTTCAGGGACATAGCTGTAAGTGCCAGGGATTTTTTACCATATATGAAATCAACTAGTTCATTATGACAGTTCATCTTTGATTATGTATCAGTATTTCACAGGAATGTATAGAGTTTGTCCAGATATATATATAGAAAAGAGTGTGCAGTGCATCAGTATATTAAAATATGAGGTATAATAATAAAGATTAAATCAATAATCTTAGTGTAAAACATCCATGTTGCACCTATATTTGTACCTTTTTACTTGTATTTATATAATATTATTTAATCTTTTTCAGAGTTCTTGTACAGAAATAAGAAAGCAGAAGGAATTGGAACTGGACATATTTTCAAGCACAATCAGTGGCTTAGAGGATGTAAGTTAAACATTCTGTGATTATTATTATTATTATTATTGTTGTTGTTTTTGTTGTTAGTGTTGTTGTTGTTGTTGCTATTAACCAATTACTGTAATGTAAGAAATCTAATTAAATTTTACTATAATTACACAGTATTTGACAATATGAAGATAGATGTACAACAACCATATTGTAAGACATTGTTTTGGTATATTTCAGAGTATTAGTCAATATGGAGATGTCCTGCTACTGTCACAAGTATTAATGCACATGGAAGGTGGAGAAAAGACCGAGAGATTATTTATCCTTTTTCTGGGGAAATTGATCATATTATCAGCAAATCCTCAGCAAGAAGGATACACATTTGAGGTAAATAAGTTCAAGATAATAAGTTCATGTTTGGTAATTATCCTAAGTGGACATCCTCTCCTCAGTCTCAACAAATGTTTCCATTCACCTGATACTGGAGAAGATGTTTATAGAGAACTGCTATAGATCACATTTGATTTTTGTCTAAGAATTATGTTGGAGATGTCTTCTTTTTCAGTCTAAAATAACTCTGAGTGGCACCACAGCCAAAGCAATTGAAGATGAAGACTCTGTACTAAATGCCTTTGAAATATCAGGTAAGTAAAACACAGCTTGCTGTTAGTCGAAGGAAACAATTACACACAAATTCACGCACAAAATTTTTTTGGGTGTCTTTATTTCAGTCACAGAGGGTTGTTGTATACTTTTCGTTTACTGGCATTTTGACAAAATAAGAACTTACACTGAAAACTTAGGAATGAGATGAGTCGGATGCTCATTAGAACAAAACAAAAACTGAACATTATGTATGCAAAAAGAAAATTAAACATTTAAGTAAAAGGATCTATATTAGAATAAATATTCACTGCTCTCCTTTTCCCCTTGTTGTTAATATCCATGTTGACTTTGCCAGCCTGATTTTAAAACTTACAGAAATGTGTCATAATGACCTTGACCTTGCATTAATGACCTTGACATTGTATTGACCTACTTTCCAGGGAACATGACAGATAAGATAGTTGTGTCCTGTGCCTCGCCTCATGAGCAGAAAGCCTGGCTTGATGCCTTACGGCAGCAGAACAAGCCCAAAGCTCCTCCTGCGCTGAGCACTCCCCCCTCCCACTCTCACTCTCACACCATCCCAGCTAAACTGACACCGTTGCAGGTAGGTGAAAAGCAAGAAGGTGAAAGTTGGGTTTGAATCCAGATAACCTTGCTAACTGAGATCAGCTAGATTTAAAAACTATGGTCTGGTCTTCACCTTTGCATGTATGTGGATAAGTAATATTTTGCATAAAGTTTGCAACAAGTGCTTTATCTGACTTACATCATGGTTTGAACAGAAAGCAAGAGGCCATAATGTGTTCTGTTCCATGTACTTGTGCATTTCTTCTTGTTGTGACACTAGAAAGGATACATCATGGGTAGCTTGTTATTTTTCTTCTCCGACTATGGCCCAGTTTGTGGAGAATACCAAATAATAATTATAATAATAATAATGAAATTTTTAACTCTGTTATTTCAGCTCTCCACGTCGCAGCCCAACATAAACGTCACAGCGACTCTTCCAGCGCAGGGCAAGAAATTCAAGATGACCCCCCAGCCTCTCTTTAAGGCTCACAAGACCTGGAGTCTGTCGTGTCTGCGACCTTGCCCCCCACTCAGACCCGTCTACTTCTCTCGAGACGACCCAACCAAGAGCCCTAGATCTGGAAGAAAGTTCCGTACTCTTACCAGAAGACCAGGTAACCCATATATGCAACATATAATATTATGTTTTTTTTTTGTTTTTTTTTAATCTTTTAAACATATGATTCTATTATCATTTCCAAAATGATGATGATATAACTAAAACCTTGATTGACTTGACTGGGGACACTATTTGATCATGTTGGCATAACGATTGCTGTCTACAACCCATCCTGCAGACAAAGCTTTCCATCCAGTGCATCATTTATTTGACTTCAGTATTGTTAATTTTCTCTTGCTGACAGCTCTGCGTGGGTCAAGCTTGGGCCAGCTTCCTAAATTTCCACTATGAGTTATGTGTTAAAGTTAAATTGGTCTACCCAGTGCTGGAAGCAGATGCACAAATGTACACACACACACACACACACACACACACACACTCTCTCTCTCTGATGGCTAATTGTCAGCTTATGTTGGCCATTATAATGAACTAGAGGTGTATGGTGACACTAGTGGCAGCTTTCATGCTTTAAATCATGTGTCTCCATAAACTGTTATTGAAGCTTTTCATATCTGCCGTTTATCCAGCATTGCCATTTCACATTAAACTGTGCTTCATAATTTGCTATTGCCATGAACAGTAGTTTAAATTTTGGCTAACTAATAGGTCGTGTGCAAAATGGTTTAAAAAAGAATTTATTTATTTATTTATTTAAAGTTTGACAGTCGATTGGCATTTATATTTCTCAGTACTAGAAGATACAGAAATGTAAGGGACAAAATTTTACATATATGATTCCCCTTGCGGAAAAAGGTCACCAGTTTTCATGTATTAAATATCCATGGCAACGTTTCAGAGCGAGCTAAGTCAGAGGATGACTATCTGTCTATCAGAAAAAGTTAGTATATTCACGGTCCTCGTTGTTTTATTATGAGCATGACCGGTGAAGTCCAAGAGACTTTCTAAGCCTAGTTTTACTGTACTGTGAAGGTCACCAAAAACCAGGCAAGGTGAAGGGATTTTATATGAAAGAAACATCTTGATTGATTTTTCGTTTTTCATTTGCAAAATTTCTGGCAATTGTTATTTAAGATAGCAGAAACAATTATACCGGAAATAAGTTACAGGTGGCAGAAAAAAATTATAGCAGGAAAATGTCAGAAGAATAACTTGTTCATTAAGACCTATGAAGACTTGTTCATAGCCATCTTATATAACCTAGTATTTATATTTTGCAGATTTTTTAAACTTTCCCACTTCTGCCATTACCTTTCCATCCTGTTCCTTTCCATCAGCCAGCTTCCCTTCTCCGTTATTGGTTTTGGTGTACCTATCATTTCAGCATACAGTGTATATATACCCCTGTTAGCTTGTGATCAATATAAATGTTTGACAAAGTAGTGTTTTGGTAGGGCGCGTTTATCAGGGTTATCAACCTACCTGGAAATCAGGGAAGACCTGGAAAATGACTTCGAATCCCCCTTTTTTTAGTCAGGGAAAATTCTGGGAATATGTGATAAGTTCTTCAGATCAAGGAAACTCCAGGAAATTTTGTTCTCAAAAATGTTGGGAAATCCTGTTTCTTGTCCTTCTTTATTCCCTACTCCTATTAATTCTTATTCCCATGATATATATTTCCCTAGGCTTACATTGTGTTTTCGCAGCTCATCTCATACAACATACAGATCTATGGGAACGCAATGTTAAGTAACAGAAGTATGTGGGGATAGCATATCACTGAAATAGGAAATAAAAATGGAGAAGGAGAAATGGAAAAAAGAAAAATTGCCCAACATTGGCATTACTTTGTCATAAATATAAGCATGCATGCAAGCAGCACATTACGCAAGTTTGCACCACTCCCAAATAGAACGTTCGCAAAGTTTGGAGCTATGCTTTGTAAGAAAAGATTCCCCTGCCCTGAATGTCACCTTCATATTTAGCTTGTCCAGCCTGAAATTATATTCCTCACTTGATTGCACGTGAGCAGCATTTGTTGACTTTATTATTATTATTATTATTATTTTAAATTTATTCTTTAGTTATTCACTTACAGGGGCAGTTATTTTTGACTTTGAAAAATCAGTGCTGCTGCAACATCTGATAAAATTTCCACTTGTTGCATTGGTTCACGTTTTGCATAAATTGGAAGCAATTGTGTTTTTTGTGAATTGTTTCCTGGAGTACCATATTATACACATATGGATGTATAATTACTCGGTGCATTTTATAGTTTTATGATCATGGTACTAAGAGATGTATGGTACTATTTTCTGTGTATTTTCTCACAATCATAGTATGGTATCCAGCGCATAATGATAAACATTAATGGCATGACGTTTATGTTGTGATTTAATTGTTTTATAATGACTATGCACACATGATGTAACAGTTATGGGGCTGAAGGAATGTTTTGCTTTTGAAATATTTTTAGTAGTCTCGGATGAGTAAAGCGTTTCAGCAGCATGTTTGATATGTTTTGCATGTTTTTTTATATAAATGTTATATTGAGATGGATCTTCAGTGAGAATTTATGCTGTGTATGCATACTAGTGTTGGTGGATAAAGTATGCTGTTTCACTGTTATTAAGTCAGATATCAAAATTAAGGAAAGTATTCACTGAAACATATATTATTTCAGATGTCAAGTTGTCTATTTTTGATCTGCTGTGATAAGGGTATTGAAAGTGTTAAAAATGACCATATAAACTGTTGTAAAAAGTTCCAATTTCTGCTTTTGGTGTTTTAAAATTTTTTGTTCCCATCCCTGTGGCAACCACAGCTGGTTGTGTCAGGTGTGCTGTGCTGTTTACACCCAGCACAATTGGTGATTGTGCCAGGATGTGCCTTTGATTCTCACCTAACACAATGTCATTTCAGTTGATGATGCCAAGACAATGGAGGACGCACTTATTCTGAAAGTCATTGAAGCCTACTGTACAAGTGCCAAGACAAGACACACTGTTAACTCATGTGAGTATTACACATGTTTTCTTATAATATAAATAAAGTCCTTAGGCAGAAATATTCTACGTCAGTTTAACTAGTCAGAGATAGACCCAGACCCCAAACATGATTGTATCCTAGACAACAGACTTCAGTTCCATATCAAAACCCATAATTATGACCATCATTGGGGTGGGGGGTGGGGTCCTTCTAGGTAGACTGACTTAGAACGTTTACTGGATCAGTCTGCATTGTTTAGGGGCTGACCTCACAAATGGGTTATAGTCTGAAACAGTGCACTCGGTAGGATTTTTCTAAGGGAGTACCGTACCCCTTGCCCAAAAAAAGAAGGGGTAATTTTCAAAATGAAGGGGTAAAATTAAAAAATGCTCATCAAGGTGTAATTTTGTGTATTAATAATCATGCAATCACACAGTTCACTTTCATAACAATAACCCACTATCCTTTTATCCAAAATCTTTTATTATTGCAATTTAACAAAAAGAAAACAAAAACAAAATGGACAGGTCACGCATAGGTCACGACTAGATACTGTGTTTCTTTGACTAGAGTAAAAGTAACTGGTGCTACCTAGTAAATGTAACAAAAGGAAAACATTCCTCTTTTGGCTTGAAAACAAAAATCTCAAAATAAATATAATAATAACAATCTCAAAATAAAAGATCTCAANGTTTACAGAGGTCGTGATTTAACTTGCTGCATGTTTTTCAAGGTTTTAAACCATGTCAATGTAAACAAGCTAAAATATAAGTCAGTAGTTTCTTCATCATAGTGGACAATTACACAATTATCCTGAATTGAAGCAGATCAAATTTTTTGTGTAAAAGTGAATGTTTTGACCAAACTTTAGACCAAAATAATGAGAAAATTTAATCTGATACTGGATCTTATGTTAAACAGATAACTCTCAACATTCATGTGAACCAATGGCAGGTGACTGTCACCTTGTGCCACTGGTGACAACTCCAATTAAGAAGGTCTTGTGATAAAGTCGAAGCATCCTGATCTCTGTTTCAATGTAAGATCCAGTATAAGGTTTAATTTTCTTATTATTTTGGTGTAGAAGTTTAGACCAGGCCCTGGTATCAAAAAAAAAAAAAAAAAACTCAAGTCATGTCCCCTGGCTAAGAACTTTATTACTAAGCTTACATGGTCACATGGTCACATCTTACACTATCAGGAGCAGTGTACTAACACCCTCATGGAAATCCTAGCCAACTAAGCCAGGGAACTGACTTCCTTTTTTTTTTTAATTTTGTTTCGTGAAACTGGGGCCAGCTTTTAATAGATAGCTCTCATTGTGAAACTGATCCCAGCCAGCATAGTTGACATTGATGGCATGAGTGCGTGTCACTGATGACTGATGGAGAAGTGTTCCTGCCTTGGGGGTTCAAACCGAGCTGTGCAACTTTGGTTCTGTCACCTCATCATGTTGGTTCAATTCATAGACTTGCCAAGATTTTTAAGATGTAAAATGAGCTTTTTTTGCAAATGCACAAATCCGCATGCACAGAAAATGCAGCTTATATTTAAGGAGACTGGGCACAAAGAGGATTTTAAATGCCTGATTTTGAGGGAAGATGCACAAAATTGCCTTATACTTAATCTTGTAGCATAAAGTTAAGCTTACCAGGCACTTGGTCAGAAAAGATTCACTCTGAATCAAAATTTAATCCAAGTCCTATTTCATTTCTAAAGATATGTCAACTCAAGGGGTAAAAAAGGTCCACTTTTTCACAGGGAGAGCTTTTAATATAAATTGCTGACTTGCCTTTGGTACTCTTTCAAAGTCTGTGATGTGATTGGAGAAAAGGAAAAAATTGCACCCTGTGTCTTAAGATGAAGGCTTCGTTCACATGCAAAGTCTATTTTCTAAATTCTATTTTCTATTCGCGCTATCTTATGATCACGGTTTGTGCCCTGAATATCCCGCCGTGTAATTACTGGCAGCGCGAGCCAGTTACTTATAGTAACTTATAGTCACTGGCTCGCGCTGCCAGTAGTTACGCCGCGGGATATTCAGGGCACAGACTGTGATCATAAGATATACCGCAAATAGAAAATAGAATTTAGAAAATAGACATTGCATGTGAACGAAGCCAAAGTTTACACCCCATGTTCAGAGATACAGTTTGCACCATGTGTTTTAAGCTACCCCATCTGAGATATTGCATATGCTTTTGATGTAGGAAATCTTTATGTATCTTGTACATGAAGTGGTAGAACTAGTTGTTGTTTTATGTCAGCTTCTATTAATTCAGCTACAGTTGAATATGTTGTATATATGTTGTATATTAATGGTCAGTATATCTTATATAATAATGGCCAGTGAATGCATGATACAACCCAGATAGTTTAAAATTTTATAGATTTGCAGATTGAAATTCTTTTGTCAATAGCTTGGGAAACAAACTGAGTGCCAGTTTGAATATATATATGACTATAAGCTGGTGGAATTTTGGCTGGTATGGTTCCAGTTGCTTTCTAATTGAAAACCTAGTGATAAAACAACTTCTACATTTCTATCGAAACCTTTCAACGTAACAACGTCCCCAATATTTGTGAAAAAAATATTATTTTGTGTGTAAATAACAACATCCCCAATATTTGTGAAAAAAAAAAAATTATTTTGTGTGTAAATAACAACATCCCCAATATTTGTGAAAAAAAATTATTTTGTGTGTAAATACAGATGTGAAATGAAATTACCTGTCAAGTCTTTTTTATGCATACACTAACTCCGGAAAAGCATTCCCATGTAGCTATATAGCCAGAGGGGGATTTGCGTAAAAATATCATTAACTCCGCACAATGTACAGTTTTTACATTGCTCATCACTCATTAACAAGGCATTAGTGCTGTTTGATTGCTTGATTACTTTGGGTCTGTAAAACATGTTTAAAGTTGTACCTGGTTAGTTTGCCTTCTGTGATCAGAGCTCCTCAACTACTGGTCGTGATGTAGGAGTGGATCCAGAGATATTTTCTGACAATATTCCAAATTATCTTTGTTGATCCATCCTCCATTTTTGATGGTCTTCCAACAGAAAAAAATAGATACCCATCAATAAAAACTTTTAAATCTGACCATCTTCCAGAAGACCCAGAAGACGGGTCTCAATCCGCCCCTATGCTTAGGATCTTTACTGCTGTTTCCAAACAATTTTACAGATCAACTGTTTTCTCTCTCTCTCTCTCTCTCTCCCCCCCTCATCCCTTCCCCCATGTTGTAACGACAGTAATCTCAGAATAACTAGGGAAATTTGGGAGCCCTTTGTGAACATATATAAAAATTGAAGGAAACAACAACAAAATTGTTTTGAAACAAGAGGATAGCCATAGTACCATTTAGCAAACTAGCCTCAGAGACTCCTTTCAATTCATGCACACATAAAGATATATTCAGAAAGTGTTTTAAGCAAACAGATCAGGTCATGCTGCATTAGATAGTCTAAGAGTAGATCGTATAATCTGACATACATAAAATAAGCATTGATCACTACATAATATAATATAATATAATATAATATAATATAATATAATATAATATAATATAATATAATATAATATAATATAATATAATATAATATAAGCCAGGCCCCAGGGCAAGTGTAGTAAGGGGGGGTTAAAACAGTCACACTTTTTGTTGGCAAAGGTCCACACTGGTTTCGATGTAGGTTCGATTCTATGTATATATAATTGTCTGAAGGTGGGTCAACTAAAGGGGTAAAGAGGTCCACATTTTAAGAAATGAACTTAAAGTAGCTAGCATTGTACTTGCCACTAATCTCAAGGCTGGGTGTATTGCATGGCTAGTTAATGGCTGGTTAATGTGGTAAATAGTGCAGTTTTTATGGTCTGTTGAAAGGGTGTTCCTATAATGCTATGATATTATGTATGCAATAAATATAGCCTAGAATTTTTATTTTTTTATTTACTTGTATGTGTGCATGTGTGTGTATGGAAAGTTGATGTTGTAGCAATTACATTGACATCACGCAGCATGGCCTTATGGTGTTTATTTGGTATTAAATGTTACTCCTGATGTGAAAGAAAAAAAACATGATTGATTCAACAGATAACCAGAGGTTGTCAGTCACTAAAGCATGCTTCCCATAAACTGATGTCCCTCTATAATTATTTTGCTCTGTGTTAGATTTGTTTGGTCTGTTATTTATTGTTTATTCATCATGTCTTAAATTTTTTTCTCTCATCTAGTCATTCTTTCATTTATTTATTTATTTAAGCAGCCGTCATTTTATATTGCCCCTCATTTGCAATTTCTCTAATGTATTACTAATTTCATTTGTCATATAAAAAAACAAGAGCAGAAGTAACAGGCATCAATAAATGTGTGATTTCATCATCTTTCATGCTGCATTTATCTCTGACAGTGGATTTGTCCAAGTTACGTGAGTTTGACCGAGATAGCGTCACCGATCAGACGCCATTAGTTTCACCAGAATATGGCGATTATACTAGAATGAGGATAATGCGTGGCTTTTGTTGCGCAAGTTTTCCTGTTACGCGAAGCATCACAAAGAGCCTAAAGAGGCTCACCTAGAAACTTGACTAGCACTAATTGTTTTTGGTGTTTTTATTAAGAAGGACGTTTTAAAGACCTAATCAACACTTTTAAAGTGTTTTAACTATAAGACAGTAAGGAATTGAAAGTAGGTTTTGTAATTGTCAAAGCACACATGCAAAGTGTTTATTTTCAGTTTAAAAAAATACAATATGTTCAACACATAAAGTTTCTTTTTTTTTTCTATATTGATGTTAAGCCAGATTGATGAGAACAGATTAATGCATCTGATTGAATTGCGGTTGATGATTGAACAAAAAAAGTACCATCATTTAAATCTGAAACATTTTTTTTTGTTGTTGTTCTATGATAATGTGTATGTTAAGGCAGGTGGATGGTATTCCTTAAAGGGATAATAACTCTTCGTATGAGATCTATATTTCACAATCAAAACATTGTGAACAACTCATAGAAATATAATA